CTCCGGCTGCAGTTGGACTGCGGGGAGCAGAGGCCGGGGTCGCTCTCGGGGCCGTACCGGACAAAGGCGGCGAAGAGGATGATGGTGAGGAGCTGGAGGAAGAAGCAGAGCCCGGCCAGACGGAGCCTCGAAGAGGCAGCAGCACCCTCAGCCATACCGGGGGGGGGGGGCAACAAACCCCAAATCGGGCGGGCGGCTCCCTGCAAACCCCTCCTGTGGGGCCGCCGGCTCCTGCCCGCACCCCGGAAGGATCGAGGCAAACAAGGGCGAGGAGAGGGGCCGGAGGCTGCTGTTGGCAAAGGAAAACGGGTGGGGGGGGTCCCCTCCCGGGGGGGGTCCCCTCCCTGCCGGGCCAGCTGGAAGGCGAGGGGTTTGTTTGCTTTGCTCTCCTCCGCTCGGCTTTCCGTTGGCTGCTGCCGCCGGGACGTGTTTGTTGTGCGCCCGGAGCGCAAACCCCGAAAAGGAAGAGGAAGAGAAGAAAGGAGCCGAAGGAGCGCGCCTCGCCTTTGGGAAACGGCTGCGGTGGCTCCCGGCCCTGCCAGGCTGGGACTTTGGGGACCCGGAGCCGGGTTGGGGTCCCCGCACGGGGAACGATTCAGGGCTGGGGTTGTGGTCGTGGTGGGGCCGCTGGGCGCTGCTGCTGGGACACTGCGGGCACCGACACAGCCCCTTCGTGGTGCCGCGGCTCCGGGAAGCAGCAGCCGGCCCCAAACCTCAGCCAGGCGCTTTTAGGGGGGGATTTAGGGTCTGTTTTGGCAGCCACGCACACAGCACAGAGCCCACAGCAGCCCGGAGAGGAGCGTGCCGGGCTGACCCCCACTGATTTTTCCTTTCTTTGCGCTTTTCCGTCCCCCTCTGGCTCGTAAAAATCACCGAATGGTTTGAGCTGCAGGGGGGGGACGTGGGGGGCTGCTCATGCAGGCAGCTCCGAGGGGGTTACAGCGACCCAGGGAGGGGGCACACGGTGCTGACCCCCCCCAGGAGGGTTGTTTTTTGTGCCATATGAGGCCGGGAGCGCTGTGTCCTCCGGGGACAGACGGCCACTTGTCTCGCCCTTCGTTTGCCACGAGCTTCATCCCCCCCTGGAGCTGGACCCAGGGCTGGGGGTGCTGATAAAGGGGGGGCCCAGCACACAGCCCCATTGTGCCCCCCTGCTTTGTTCCCGGCCCCAAGGTGACAGCAGGGGAGCCTCTCGGGTGGCTTTTGGGGTGGCAGGGGGGACCCCACTGCGGGAGCCCCGCAGGATGGCATCGGAGAGCTGGGAACTCGCTGTGGGGGGGCAGGAATTTAATCCGTGAGGCAGGGAGCAGCGTCCCCAAGGGGGACTGGTGCCCAGGGGGGGTCTCTGCCCGCAGCAGGGGCTGCGGAGCCCTGCGTGGCGCTGACATTTTCCCCTGAATTCCCCGGCTCTGTGGCCTGCGAATAAAAGCACGCTTGTTAGCCGGGAGCGCTGTGTTTTTGCCCAGCAGAACAATAAAGAGAAAGATGCTCACAATGGGAAATTGTGCTTCCTCCTCCCCGTGCGTTCCTCGGGGAGGTGTTTTGGGGGAAAAAAAAGAGAAAAAAATAAGAGAGGAGAAAGCAGGAAGAGACGGGGACGGGGCAGGGAGCGAGGGCACGGCCATGGGAGCAGGCACCGAGGGGCCGCGGCGCCGCGGGGCTGCCGGGACACTGCCAGCACAAGGACGGTGACGGTGACAGGGACACCACGGGGAGGGCAGGGGCCAGCTGGGAGCACCCCAAGCCACCCCTTGCACCCCTGGGTCCCCTCGTCCCAGCAGCACGGCGCAGGTTTGAGCTTCCCGGAGCCCTCGGTGCCACCGGTGCCACATCGGGGCAGCGGTGACGGAGCCGGGACGCGGGCGCTGGGTGCTGGAGGGGGTGGATGGGCACGGCGGCTCCCCTGGGGACGGTAAGAAGTGGGGTGGCACTGGGGGGGTCCGATCCTGCCCGGCTCAGTGCTGGGCTCATCCCACGTGGAGTTGTCCCCTTGGCAGGGCAAGCGTTGAGCCGATGGCTGCGGATGTCCCCACCGCGTCCCCTGGTCCCCAGCGAGGCCGGGGGCCGTCCCGCTGCACGTCCCTGAGCCCAACGCTCCTCCCGGGCACCCTCCTGCCCCCAGCTCCAAAGATGCTCCGGCTTCTCCTGCTCAGCTCCCTCTGGCTCCTGGCAGCGTCCCCGACCTCCAGCACCTTCCAGCGACCCACGGGGAGCCCGGGTACGGAGCGGGGACGGGAACGGGGGGCGCAGGGCGCTGCTGCTTGGGGACGGCACCGAGGGGCTGAGCTACGCTGAGCCAGGCTGGAAAGCAGCTGGAGGTGCTGATGAGGGCGGTGGGGAGATTTTGGGGGGGCTGTGGAGGTGCCCTGAGCTGGTGCCCGGCCCCCCGCAGCCGCCCCACGCCTACAGTACCTGCTGGAGCCCCTGCACGGCGCGGTGCACACGCAGCGCGGTGCCACCGCCACCCTGCCCTGCGTCCTGCGCGCCCTGCCCCGCAACTACCGGGTGAAGTGGAGCAAGGTGGAGCCGGCCAACTACGGGGAGAGCGTCATCATCATCACCAACGGGCTGTCCCACAAGAACTACGGGCCCCTCAGCCCCCGGGTGCGCCTGCGGCACAGCCACCGCTACGACGCCTCGCTCACCATCACCGACGTGGCCTTGGAGGACGAGGGGCGCTACCGCTGCCAGCTGGTCAACGGGCTGGAGGACGAGAGCGTCTCGCTCACGCTGCACCTCGAGGGTGAGCCGAGGCTGCCTTCCTGGGGAGTGGAGAGGGTCCCGGGGGGGAGAGGAGGCTGTGAGTCCCCGCTATGCCCTGTTGTGCGCCCCTTTGCAACGCCCCTTGCTCCTCAGCACCAGGTTCTCGGGGGCAATGAGCCAAAACCCTCTTGGAGAGAACATCTCCGTCCCTCTCCATCCCTGTCCCCCCTCCCCAGGCGTCGTCTTCCCCTACCAGCCCAGCAACGGGCGCTACAAGTTCAACTACCACGAGGCCAAGCGCGCGTGCGAGCAGCAGGACGCCCGCCTGGCCACCTACCAGCAGCTCTACAAAGGTACCACCCCGCTGCTGCGGGAGGGGGGGACCCCAAAAAAAAACCCCTTCCTGCCCTGCTGGGCCGTGGAGAAGGGGAGAGCTGCACGGTGATGCTGAGGTCCTTGGGTGCAGCGCGGCCCCGTCCCTCAATTATTTGTCAATTTGTCAATTTGCCCTGCAGCCTGGACGGAGGGCTTGGACTGGTGCAACGCGGGCTGGGTCCTCGACGGCACGGTGCACTACCCCATCATCAACTCCCGCGAGCCGTGCGGGGGCCGCCTCCTCCTGCCCGGCGTCCGCACCTACGGGGCCAGGGACAAGCAGCGGGATCGCTTCGACGCCTTCTGCTTCACCTCGGCGCTGCAAGGTTGCCTCCGACATCCCCCGTCCCCAACCCCGGAGCCCACCGGGGGGACCCTCGTGGGGCTCCGCTCACCCTCCGTGTCCCCACGTGTCCCCCCCCAGGTGAGGTCTACTTCATCCGGGGCCACCTGAGCTTCAAGGAGGCCGGGCAGGCGTGCCGAAACCACGGGGCCACCGTGGCCAAAGTGGGGCAGCTCTACGCCGCTTGGAAATTTTCGGGGCTGGATCGCTGTGACGGGGGGTGGCTGGCGGACGGCAGCGTCAGGTACCCCATCACCGCCCCCCGGCAGCGCTGCGGGGGGGTTCCCGAGCCCGGCGTGAGGAGTTTCGGCTTCCCCAGCAAGGAGCAGAGGACCTACGGCACCTACTGCTTCGCGGGGGCGTAGGAGAGGTGGGCTGAGAACCAGGGGGGACGGCACCCAGGTGGGGAGCTCCAGGTGGGGGTCGGGGGTCTCCGGGTGGGGGTGGGTGGTTTGTGCGTCCTCCGGGGGAGCGGTGGGGGTGATTTGGGGGGGCTCCTGCATCCTCTGGTGGAGCTGCTCCCCCCATCCCAGCTGCTCCGGGGCTCGCTGGGTGCTGGGGGCTCGCCAAAAAAGCCGGTCCCATTGCCAGCCCAGGATGGGGGGGCTCCAATACCCCCCGATCCCCCCACCCCCGGTGTGTCTCTCCCCATTTTTGCTCCCCGCAGCCGCGAGGACTGTGGCTGGTGCAGGCGCGCCGGAGAGCTGGGCATTAACGAGCGTGACTAATGGAGTTTCGCTTTCTTAATTAATAAAGCGACGGTAAAGCTGCACGCCGAAGCCGTGCCCTCACCTGCCCTCTGCCCCCGGCACCTCCCGGGCTCTCCGCGATGGGGATCTGCCAAGGACTTCTTGTTTCCAGCAGTCCCAGCTTATAGGGACCCCCCCCCTATAAGCAGTCCCCAGCTTATAGGGACCCCCCCCCCGCCTAATGCCTGGCGTCCTGGCATTATCGGTGTCCCTGGCACCGCACTGGGGGGGTTTTGGGGTTGGTGACGCCGCCGGGGACAGCTCTAAAAAGCACCGGTGCTGGAGATAGCGGCGTGGGGAGACCCGGGGGGGCCCAGCCCTGCGAGGTGCCCCCTTCCTCCTGGGAAACTGCCAGCAGCAGCTTCCCAACCCAAATCCTGCCGGCTCCCCACAGCCACCGGGATTTGGGGACGTTTTGGGCTGCGCCTCCCTGTTTCCGTGGCCGTGGGGACACCGCGGTGCCAGCAGCACTGTTGTGCACCCCGCGTTCCCAATTTTAGGTCTGGGTACCCCTGCCTCTGCCTCTGGGCTGCCTCGTTTGTCAGCTTTAATCCCACAGCAGCACCCAGGGGGGCTTGGGCGATGCGCACCCCCCCCCCCCAGCAGCGTGGCTGTGTCCCGGGCACCGCCTCGGTGTCTCCGTCCCGCTGCTATAGGGTGAGGACCCCCGGGGCAAAGGTGCTCCAAGAGGCTGGAGATGACTCTGCCACCCCCAAGCTGTGACCCCCACCCTAGGATTTCCCCCCCCAAACCCGATTTTGGCTCTGTGGTCCCTCCAAGACCCCACCAGCCCTCGTGCGAGGTGAGACGCCAGGCGGGTGGCTGCCGGCTCCTTTTTGGGGGATCTTTAGTTATGGGGGTTTCTTTGTACAGATATAAAACAAGCAGAGGGCGGGCACCCACAGGGCAGGCTCCTCGCCCCACCGGTGCCCCCGCTGCCATCCCGGTGCCGTCCCCATCCCCCGGGGAGCCTCCTGCTTCGGGGACCCCCTCAGTCTCCGGGGTGCTGCGCCAACCCTGGATGAAGGAGAAAAAACAAAAAAAACCAAAAAAAAACAGATGAAGGGCGAGATGCTGGGGTGTGATGCAGGGGGAGGGGGTCGGGGACCCCCCCCCGGTGCTCACCAGGGCGGCAGGAGAGCTGGGGCTGCTCCCAGGTCCCGTCCTCGCGGCAGCGGATGAGGGGCGAGCGGCGCGGGGCGAAGCCGCGGCGGCACTGGTAGCGGGCGGTGGAGCCGACCTCGTAGCGTGGCTTGGCTTTGCCAAAGGCGTGGGCATTGCCCACGGCGGGGGGGGGCCCGCACTGCACTGCGGGCGAGGTGGGGGGCAATTGTGGGCACCCCTGTGCCAGGCAGACCCCCCCCACCTCCCCACACCACCCCCAAGGTTTCCAGCGTAAACCCCGAGCAAGGGGAGGGTGCCCCCAGCCCCTCTCCTCTCCCCGTTTTGGGGTCGGGGATGGGGGAGAGGGGGGTAAGGGGGGGGGCAGGGCTTACCCAGCCCCATTTTGCAGGTGTAGGAGAGGTGATAGTTGCAGGGGACGTCGCTCCACTGCCCCCCGTCGTGCCACACGATGACCACGCAGTTCTCCCCGGAGAGAAAGTAGCTGTCGGGCTGCCCGGGGTGCCAGTTCTCGTAGAGCTGAAACGGGGGGGGGGACAGGAAGGGGCTGGGGGCTGGGGACAGCTTTTTTTTGGGGTGACACGGGGCCCCATCCTCTTGCTGCCAGCCCCGGGTCCCAGACACCCGGGGGCTGCTGTGCCCCAGGCGTCGCGCGACGCTCGGCGCCGCCGCGGTTTTGGCAGCGGCTTCAAAGCCCGGCGCTGACTCACCCCAAAGGATCGGTCCCAAGGGATGGAGAAGGACGAGGAGTTGCCCCCGGGGGGGGGCTCCTCATTTTTTGGGGGGGGTGCAGGGAAGGCTGGCAGCCCGACTTACCAAGGGGCTCCCGTCGGACCACTGGAAATCCCCCTCGATGGTGCGGTCGTTCAAGCCGATCCATTGGTACTCCCGGTACTGGTCTGGGGGCACGGGGGGGGGCTTGGGGGGCACAGCCGGCCCCCAGCACCCCCAAACAGGGCTCAAGGGCTGGAGGCTGTTTTTGGGGGGGGGCTTGGGCGAGGCTGGGAAGTGGGGAGGGGTCGCCGGGAGAGGGCAGCAGAGCCCTGGTGTCCCCTCCGGTCCCTGGTGGCTTTGGTGTCCCCAGCAGTGAGCCTTGGTTCCCTCTGTCCCTGCTGTCCCCTGTCCCTCTGTCCTTCTGTCCTTCCGTCCCTCTGTCCCTCCTGTCCCTCTGTCCCAGCTGTCCCCTGCCCCCATAACCCAGCGGAGCGAGAGGCCCCTTTTTGGCTTAGCTTCCCGACCCTAAACCCATTGGGCGAGGGTCCCGGTGTGCCCCCCCCTTGGCTCCCGGGGTCTGTAGGGTCTGGGCCGTCCCCACGTACCGTTGATGAAGTCCTGCTCCTCGGGGGTCAGGATGGTGGCCAGGTGCCCCCCGTAGTGCCTGCACTGCGTCTCCGCGTCCTCCCAGCTCCTCCGGGTGGAGAAGTGCTTGTAGCAGGCTCCCTGGAAGCTGTCCCAGCCGGGGCTGCACCTCCTCAGCGCTGAACCACGGCGGGGAACAAGCGGGGAGAGAGGACAGGGTCAGCACCACGGAGCCCAGCCCGCGAGCAACCCCAAAAAATACCCCAAATCCCTCAATTTACGCCTCCGGGGCTGCTTTAGGGTCGGCACAGTGCTGGCCCCGTGGGACTCACGTCTCTCGCAGCTGCTCCCTCCGTAGCCGGGCAGGCAGAGGCAGGCGAGGTGGGCGCCGTCCTCGGTGCAGGTCCCTCCGTTGAGGCAGGGGTTGGGGACGCAGCCACCTGCAAGGCACGGGTGGCCCCGCTCAGCATCGGCGTTTCGGGCGAGGGGGTGCGGGATTTGGCCACCCCATGCACAAAGTCCGGGGCACGGTGGCGTGCCCGGAGGACTTGTATCTGGCTGGGTTTTGGGGATTTGGTGTCCCCCGGGTGCACAAAGCTGGGAGCTGGGCGCACCCCTCGCGCCGGGGGCTCGCCGCCGTGCCAAGCCCTGGGCTGGGGACAGCTCGTGGTGTTGGAGCGGTGCCGCGATGGCTCTTTTGGAGGGGACATTAAAAGGACAAGCCCTTGAGCCCGTCCTGGCCGCACGTCCTCAGCCTGGGGGCGAGGCGAGCCTCGTGCCTGCCCCCCAGCCCTGCTGCTCTCACCTTCAGCCTGGCCGGGGCTGAGAACTCGCCCGGTGCCGGCGCCAGCCCCCAAAGCCCTTCCCTGGCTGGCACCAGCTCGTTCCGGTCATTAAGGCACGCGGTCATTAACCCGTCCCCGGTTCAAGAGCATGATTAAGGGCTCCAGCGGAGCGGGGAGTGAAAGTCCTTGACACCCCCCCAACGCCTCGGCAGGCCGCCACCGTCCCCTCCGTGCCAGCCCCGCGGCGCCGGGGACGCGCGGATCAGCTCCAGCGGAGCGCAGCGGGGCGAGGGACGAGCTATTTAGGGCTCGGGCACGTCCGGATCTCTCTGAGGGCATCTCTCCTTGCCAGGACAAACGCAGCCGTCCTGCAAGGTGCGGGGGTCCAGCAGGACCCGGGCACCCACCTGCAGAGCATCATCTGGGGGGGGCACAAAAAGGGACCCCCGCTTGGGATGTGGGGCTGTGCCTGATCGCAGAGCTGGGAGCATCCCGGGGTTGGGGGCTGGAGGGATTTGGGTTGAGGTCACAGCTCATGCATCCAGCATGCCTCCCGCAGCGTGGGGGTCCCACCTCAGCCCGCAGGGGGCTCGGGACTGCCCCCGTGCACCCCACAACCCCCTAAAACCCTGCAGCGCTTTGGGGCGCTTGGCCGCGTGCACTTTGGGGGTGCTCCCTGGCACGAGGACGTGGGTGTCGTCGTCCCCCCCCCAGGGCATAGGGGACGGGAAGCCCCCGGCTCACATCATGCTCAGCCCCCAAAAGCCCTCATCCAGGGCAGGGGGCGCAGGGCCGGGGGGATTAGTTCGTCAGTGGGGAACACGAGCGAGGCAGCAGGCGCGAGGACGAAGGGAAGAGCTAGCCGAGGTGCGTGTTCTAGAAAGCTTTTAATTAATTCCCTTTATTAGTACCACTGTTAGTCAGAGGAGGGTTCGGGGCCTTCTTTTGATATATATATATCGTGTTTTTTTTCATGGAAACAGTCATTAAAACACTTCACAGAAGTAGAAGAGAATTAAGTGCATGCGTAGCTCGGACCAATTTGTTTGACAAATATGCGCTTCTCCGGACCTTTAACCTTCCCTTACCCAGCCGAAGAGAGGAGGAGAGAGAGAGAAAGAGAGAGGAAAGAGACAGACGGACGGACGGACGGACGGACAGAGGGAAGCACAGCGTGAAGGAAAGGCGTTGCTGTTGCCTAGTGCCAGCGCGCAGCCAGCAGCGCTGCCCCCAGCGCGAGGGCGGCGCGGTGCTGGGGGTCCCCGGCTGAGCTCGCCCCCGCCCCGAGGCTGGCACGCTCGGTGGGGAGGGCGGGCAGGGGGGCGGCCGTGCTGGGGGCCGGGTCCCCCAAGGGGGTCCCTGTTGGAGACACCCCGGGGACACCAGCACGGGGAGAGGTGAGGCCATCCCCGAGGGTCCCACCTGGTTCTCCGGGAACGGCTGGAAGGAAACCCTCCACGGTTGCGACAGAGGGCACGGGTCGCTCTTCCTCCTCCTCCTCCTCTTCCTCCTCCTCTTCCTTTTCCTTCTCCTCCTCTTCTTCTGAAGACGCAGCGGGGGTCCCGTGGGCAGTGCCCGGGGTTTGCGGCACAGCCTCGTGTCCCGTGGCTGGTGCGTCGCTGCCACCGGGCACCTCGGTGTGCCACGGGGTGACCACCGTCGCCTCCACCGCGGGGACCGTGCCCCCGTCCCCTGGGGCCGCGGGCGAGGGGAGCCACAGGGCCCCCGACTGCTCCTCGCCGTCCTCCTGCAGCTGCGAGGGGGGCAGCGGGGACGCCCCCCGGGGGCTTTCGGCCACGTCTCCGGACAGCTCGGCGTCCTCGGCACCCCCCGCGGCAGGGCCGGACCCGCGGCCGTGCGTCCCGGGGGCTGGCTCTTGGCTGTCTGTCGAGGTGGCAGAAGCGGCACGGGTCGGAGGTGTCACCCCGCTGTCCCCGTGCCCAGGTGGCCCGGGGCTCCTGGTGTGGGCCGGGCGCCCCACGGCTTCCCGCGGGCGGCTGGGGAGGCTCGAGGGGGCCGCGGGGGGCTGGGGCTGTTCATCGGGTGGCTCTGTGTCACCTGCTGAGGCCACCGCTGGGGACAGGGCATCGGAGGGTCCCTCAGCTCCTGCCGTGTCCGGCTCCGTGGGCTGGCCGGGGTCTCGCCGTCCCTCCAGGCTCTCTGCTGCGGTGTTCCTGGGGTCCCCACCCAGTGCAGAGCCCACAGCTGCTCCCTCTTCCCCTGCAAAGCGCAAAGAAGAATTGGGGTGAGACGCCTGCGCCCGCACCGGGTGCTTCAGGGATCTGGGAGGGAGACGCGGCACAAAGCTGCTCAGGGAGGCAGAAACAGCCCCGGGGCCGCGGGATGCTTCCCCCTCCGAACCGGTGCCATGCTCCGGCTCGGCCACCTCGTGCTGCAGCACAGCAGGGTGCTGCTCAGCCCCTCGCCACCTCCTTTCCCTCCTCGGGCTCTTGGCGTGGCTAAAGCACCGGCCGGTGCCAACCCTGCCCAACGCACGGCGCTGCCTCGGCCACGACATCCCCGAGCCGGCGACGTGCGCGCCGGAGACATCGCCTGGCACCGCTGCGCCGAGCCAGCCTGGCCCTGGGCGCACCCTGAGGGGGCAGAGGCAGCTCGGCCACCCCCAGGCACCTCGGGCGAGCTCCACGCCTGCATCCCTGCGGCTCCTCTCGGCTCCCAAACCCTGAGCGCCGCGGCGGCCGCTCCACCTACCCGTGCGGGACGGCTCTCGCCCGGCCTCTGCGCACTTTCCACCCGTCCCTGTCGCCCCTTCCTCGTCTGCGGGGGACGGGCTCCCCGCTTTTGCACCGCAGCTAAGCGGGACGCCTGCCTCGGGGACAGCCGGGGCCGTGGGGAAAGGGGCGGCGGAGGCTGGGTGACGTCCTCGAGCCGAGGACACGGAGGTAGCTAGCGGGGGGTGCCGGGCCCCCGGACCTGGAGCATCTTCGGGGGCCAGGCTCGGCTTTTCCAGCTCAGCGTCAGCCGCGTCCTTAAAGAAAGGGACGGCGTAAATAGCCCCTCGCGACTCAATCTCCACTTGCGCTTTGGGCAGCTGCAGCTCCTCCAGCTTTTCTGCCACTGTAACAATCTCCTGGAGGCCCTCGGGCTCTCCGGCTCCGTATTTTCCTGCGGCCTCAGGGATAGAGTTTGTCCCTTCTGTGGGCAGAAAGAAAGCGGGGTATTACTGCCTTGTCCTGGCCCCGCGGCAGCTGGGGACAACCTGGCACCCGCTCGGGGGGACCCGCTGCTCCTCGAGCCCCTCCGCAAAGGGCAGGATCAGGCCCCCCGTGATCAGCCCTGACCGAGCTGGCAGCTCCCAGGAGTTAGTGGGTTACGGGGACGGCGGCGCGGCGCTGTGGGACGGCTCCATCCTGCCTACCCCTGCCCTCGGAGGCAACGGGATTCCCGCTGGGAGAGGGGGAAACTGAGGCACAGAGGCACGCGGCGGCCGCTTGATCCAGGAGAAGTCCCCATCCTGTGAGCCCCCACGGCCCTGAGGGGACCCTCGGGGAGGTGGGATGGGGAAGGTTCGGCAGGAGGGTGGCTTCATCCCTCTGCCTGCTGTCCCTGTCCTCGCTCGTCCCCTCCTGGGGCACCGCAGATGTCCCCCGGTGCGCAGGGTGCCCTCGGCACCCCGGCTGAGCCCACGGCTGCTACCCATGGGTTTCATTCCCTACCCACAACCGCGATGTGTGGGCCCTGCAGCCCCGGCAGGCTGCGCCCCACAGCCCGCAGGGAGCCCCAAAATGCCCCCAGCAGCCACACGGGGCCAAACCATGCCCACGCAGCCCCCTCACCCCAAGGCTGGGGCTGGTGGCACCGATCTGGGAGAGCCTCTGCCCCCCAGAGCTGACCCTGAGCTCGCGCAGAAGGACGGCACCACGGGGACGTCCCTGCTCTATCGCGATATAGCAGCATGCAGCGTTCAGACCAGCCCCACCGTGTCCCGATAAACTATTAGGACCATGCAGAGCACCCGTCCTCCGTCACGATGCATGCAGCGCTGAGACCATGCGGGTTATCCCTCCCTAACCGAGCTCATGCAGGGCACCCCTGTCCTGGCTCCTCATGCACCACCGAGGCGGCACCGACAGCCCTGCTCCATCACGACCCGGCGGCACGGAGAGCGCACGGGGGGACCCCCGTGCGAGGCTGCACCCCGCAGCCCTGTCCGAACCCCTGCCCTGCTCCCCGGGGGTGCCCCGGTTACCTCGGAAGCAGTACGCATCGTATCTGCTGTGGGCATCGGGGAACCCCGTCTGGTTGCGGAAGAGGAAGATGGTTTTGACGCCGGGCAGCGCCCCGCCGCAGCGCTCCCGGGGGGTGACGATGGGGTAGCGGACGCTGCCGTCGGCCAGCCAGCCGGGGCTGCAGGCGTCCAGCCCCGCGCTCCAGGCGGCGTAGAGCTGCCCCGGGCTCGCCAACGCCGCGCCCCGCGCCCGGCAGAGCTCCTCCGCCTCCTCCAGCGTGAACTTGTCTGGGGCCGTCTCCAAAAAGATCTCCCCTGCCAAGAGAGGAAGGAGGCGGGGGTCAGGAGAGGGGCTCGGGAACGCGGCTGGGGCTGCCACGCCACTCAGGGCTGGGTGCGGGGGGCACGGTCTGTCCTTGCTCAGCGTCCTGCTCTGCTTTCCCGAGCTGCCTGCGCTTTTCTGAAGCCCGCTGCGGACCCAAAGATTCCCAAAACCAAAATGTGACCGACGCGGGGGCTGCTGCTTCCACCTGGCACACACGAGCAGCTCCAGCAGCGGGGACGCGGCCCTAGGTCACCAGAGGTCCCCTGGCCACACTGAAGCATCAAAGCTTTGCTACAGTCACCTCTAAAAAGGACCGCAGAGGAGCAAATCCTTGCCCTGCACGGAGCAAGACGCACGTGGCACATTTCTCAGAGGACCTGCAAGCCACCAGGGAGAGTCCAGGGAGCTGAGTGAGGCAAAACCACCCCAGAAATGCTCCCGCGTGGGGAGCGGCACGGCAGCACCCAGCTCCCGCGCACACCGGAGAGCCCAAAGTCCCGGGAAGGCTTCAGAGAAGACACGAGCAGTGCCTACAGCTTGGGGAAATTTCTGCCAGTTCTTGGTCCCGTGCGCTGGTGCCCGTCGGGTTGTGGGATGGGGGGGTTACGGGGCCGGGTTAGTGCGGGGCCGCAGGGAGGGGAAGGGCGCAGGGTTGGTGGGCACCTGGCAGGTCCTCGGCGTAGCAGTAGACGTCGTACATGTCCTCCGGGTCCACCACCCCGTAGTTCCTCACCCCGGGGAAGCCGTTCATGTCCCCGTAGCAAGCCTCGCGGGGCGTGTGGATGGGGTACCTGGGGCACGAGAGGAGAAAGGGGGCTGGCGATGGAAGGAGAGGCACAGGGGGGCCCCAGGAGGTGCCAAACGTGTGCTGGGGGTGCCAAACGTGTGCCGGGGGTGCCAAATGTGTGCCGGGGGTGCCAAATGTGTGCCGGGGGTGCCCACCTGACGGTCTGGTCGGCGATCCAGCCGGCATCGCACTGCTCGTAGCCGCCCAGGTAGGCAGCGTACAGCTGCTCGGGGGTGGCGATGCGGGCGCCGATCCTGGCACAAGCCTCCTGCGCCTGGGCGAAGGTGTAGGCGTAGCGCATGGAGCCCTCGCGGTAGTGAAACACAACCCCTGGGGGCAGGAGGGAGGCATGGGGTGGGTGAGGGGCTTTGCAGCAGCCCCCCACCCGCCTGGGCGCACCCACGCACGAAATGGGAGCCAAGGTGTGGATATCTGTGCCCCCAGCCCCCCAAAAAAACACCGCCTCTCCTCTGGGTACCTTTGACTCTGAGGTCGAGGATGTCGTGGCCGTCCTCGATGCCGTGCTGCACGTCGCAGCGGTAAATCCCCGAGTCGTTGGGGCGCAGCTCGGTGAGCAGCAGCGAGGCGTTGGTGTACCGCTGGTGGAAGATGGGCAGGGAGGCGCGGAGCCGATAGTCCTCGCTCACCTTCACCCTGTCCCCCCGGGCTACCAAGATCTCCACCTCCCTGCCCTCGGAGATGAAGGTCCACTTGACCCGGGGGGCGCCCAGCACCGCCCTGCGCCCGGCCGTGCCGGTGGTGGGCAGGGGCCCGAGGTAGGTGATGAGGCAGGGGATGGTGACGTCCCCCGCCAGCACGGCGTCCAGGGCAGGGTGCCGCGGGATGGAGACCTGCAGCGCCTTGAGGTCATCTGGGAGGGGAGAGGAGAGGAGATGTGAGAGGGGTCGGTGCGTGGAGACCCCCCCCCGGAGCCTGGTTATGGGGTAGGGGTAAGCGCAAGGCGCGGTGACGCCGTTACCTGTGCCATCTCCGGGGCCAAGCACCTCCGGGACCACCGCGGGGGTAAAGGCGCAGAGCAGCAGCAGCAGCAGCGGGAGGGCTGAGGCCATCCTGTGCCCTGCGAGGGGGAGGCAAAACCCAACAGAGGTGCTTAAAGTGGGGAGGAGAATTAAAACAGCCCTTCCCTGCGCGAGGGGGGCAACAAGGGCGAGGGCGAGACCTCGGCCCGCAGACCCCCGGGTCCTCTGGGGATGGCAGAGCCCAGCCTGGCCTTGGTGGCACGGAAAATCTGAGCGCAGCCAGGCAGGAGGCGATGCCAGAGCCGGAGGCACCACTGTTAGAAACCTCAGGCAGGGTTTTAAGAACTGGTGTCGAGCAGGGATGAAGGAACGAGCCGCTGAGCCCCGGCGTGGGCAGCGAGTGCGCGTGCACACATGTGCCAGGGGGGATTTTCGGCGTGCCCACACGTCTGCGTGCCTCGCTGCACGTGTGCGTGCCCGTCCATGGGTGCACACGCGTGTTTGCATGTGCGCTTGTGCACGTGTGGGAGCGGGCTTTGGCCGGAGAGCTGCTGGGGGGGGATGCTGAGGGCGCACAAAAGCGCGGGGCAGAGGGGGAGGGACGGAGCAGGAGGGCTTCTCGTTGCCATTCAGCTCACGGCGGAGGTTCCCCGCGCTCAGGCTGGGAAAAGCGGGGCCGAGCAAAGCAGTCATTATGTCCCGGGCCTCTCTCAAGGCTGCCTGGCACAAAGGGCTCTCCCCCGCCGGCTGGGGAGAGGCTCTGAAAGGAGAGCCCCGCCGCCGTCGCCAGCCCCGAGAAGCAGCCCCGGGGACGTTGGGGACGTCCCCGAGGGGCTCCGGCCACCCTGTGGCACCTCACAGCTGTGCGGAGAGGATGCGGAGAGGCCCCTGCGTGGCGCCTGGTGCTGTAGGGGGGCACGGCCCCGTTATCCTCACACCCTGCTGCAGAGCCACCTCGGGGCTCGGGGGGTTCCCCGGCTCCCCGTAACGGTGCCGCACCGGGACGGGAGCGCAGCGGCCCTGAGCCTCGGAGCGGTTTTGTAATTTACGAGCTCTTTGTGCCGAATCGATTTTGGCAGCCACCGAAGGGGATTTTGGCACCGCCGCGGGGAGCTCTGGCCCAGGTCGCCGGCTGCCAGAGCCAGGCTGCCGGGAGGATGGCCTCGCTGCCCACAAACCGGGCTGCCGGGGTTCCCATGGGGCCGATGCATCGGGAATTGGGTGTGAATACAGCGCGGGGACCAAGGACAGGCAGCCCAGCACCATGCCCTGTGCATAAATAGCCCCTAAAACCATGCCCCATGCACATCCAGCCCCTAGCACTCCCCCTCCCCATCACGACCTCCCCCAGAACCTGGCCGGCACTGCCAGAGCCAAGCCAGGGGCATTTTTCGGCTGGGGCCGGATCATTTTGAATTCAGCCCCACGGCTCCGGAGCGAGGGACGATCCCCCCTGCCCGGGGACGGTGGCCGGGCTCCAGGACGGGGGCTGGCCGCCGTCCCCCAGGGTGGCGGAGCGAGGCAGGCTTTTGTCACCGGCTCCTTTTCTCCCCGTTCCCAAGGCGCCGCGGTGGCGTGAGCGGCGGCCGGAGCAGCCCACGAAGCCCCAGGGAGGAAATTCAAGGGATAAAAAAGTCGGCGGGGAGGCAGCGAGCCGGGGACACCGGGCGTCTGCTCCCCTCCTACGGCCGGGACACCGAGGGTCCGAGGGGCTGGGGGATTAAACCTGGCCTCATCCTGCCTGCGGGGTCCCGTGGTGGCAGGAGACTCTCAGGCGTCACCGTCTGAGGTTTGGGGTTTGAATCTTTTTTTTTTTTTTGCCACAAACGGAAAAATTTTTTAGCCCACACGTCAGGAAGGGGAAAGGCTGGGAGCAGCACCAGGGGCCGGTGGCCAAAAGGCTCGGCGGGCAGCGAGGGGGACTCGGGCACCCTCCAGGATCCCGGCCCCGCGGTGACAGCCGGGGGACGGGGACGGCTACGAGATGCTCGCGTGCGCACGGCCGCCCTCCAATTCCATGGGAAACCGGGTGGAAAATGGAGCTGCAGCCTCCTTCGGGACGGGAGCGACCTTTCCATCCCTCTCCCCCCCGAGCCCAGCCCCGTTTTCGGATGCGGCGAAGCGCCTGGAGACGCCGTGAGCGGGCACCCCGCGGCCGAGCCCCTTCCCCTCCCCGCCACCACCCTTTTGGGGGGCTTTGTCCCCAGCTCTGTCCCTGCACGTGCTGGCTCCCAAGGTGCCCTGGCAGCCCGCAGCGAGGCAGCGCGGCGGAGCAGCGGCTTTCCAGGGATGCTCAGCTGCAGAATGAGTCAGCAGCCGCGGACGGAGCCTGGCCCCGCTCCAGCCTGGCCCCACGGCCCCACCGGCACCGGGCTGCGGGCACCCCGATGGCCCCAGGCACGTGCCCAGTTTCCCCCATCCCCGTCCCATTCCCTTGCTGCAAAGCGCTCCCGCACCCTGCGCCACCCGCTGCGCCCTGCTCGGCTGCTCGGGGGTCTCCAAGCGCCGAGCCCCCCCATTTGGGGTGGGCACTAGGGTCGCTTTCGGCACAGGGGGTGCTGCGGGAAGCGCCCGGCAGCATCTTGGCAGCGGCCGCTGGCAGAGCCCAAAAGGCAGGAAGCAGGTGGGGAGGAAAAGGGGGGGTCCCTCCGGCTGCCGGAGATGCTCCCCCACCCAAAAAAAAAGTCTGTGTGGGAAAAAGGGGTCCTTGTTGTAGGGTCAGGACGTGCCACTGAGGCTTGGGGAGGTTCCCGAGGTGGAGCCGAGGAGGGCAGCCCCCCCCTAGGGACCCCCCCAGGCACGCACGTGGAGGTTTTGTGCACCCCCCCTCTCCGCTGCAGGGCTCCGGTGGGGAAACTGAGGCACAAAACGGGGCAGGAGCAGCAGGGGGGGGGGGTGCCCCAGATTTTGGCGGTGCCGCCCGGCCCCTCAGCACCCTCCCTGGAGATGCTCCCTCAAAGATCGCGGCACGCCGAGGAAGGAGCCAGGCTCCCAGTTCGCCCAGTTCAACCCAGTCCCTGCAGAACAGCCCCAAAATCTCCTGAGCGCCCTCGTGCCGTGGTGCAGGGGGTGGGCGAGGACCTGCCCGGAGGGGGCAGAAGCCCCCCCAGGGGGACAAGCAACAGGTTCTGGGTTTTGCCGGGGCTTTTTTTGGCTGGGGAGCAACGAAAATTTGGTGGGATGGGGGCAAGGGGAGCTCTGCCCCCCCCCTCAACTGGGGGATGCTCAAGGGCAGCGCCCTCACCCCGGGTTTTGCTCCGCCTGGGGAGGGGTCTTGCAGGAACCCCCCCCCATAGCCCTGGGTGCTCTGCGCGCACGCCCTGGGGCTGCCCGGTGGGGAAAATCCTTAAAAATGCTGCAAAATGTTCCCCTTCTCCCCCCAGCCCCTCCCGTCCCCTTCGGGACACCGGCAGAGCCTGGAAAAAAAAAAAAAAAAGGAAAAAAAAAGGAAAAAAAAAGGAAATCCCTGCGGTGCTGCAGCCACCCCCGGGGGGGCAACTTTGTCCCCCTGCGCCCCCGGGGAGACGCAGCCGGGCCCCTGCCCAGCTCCGTGCCTCAGTTTCCCCCCCCGGCGCTGCCCCGACCGCAGCCTCCTTGGCACGAGGACCCGTGCGGAGGCTCTGCCACGGGGAGGGGACCCCAAAATGGGGCGCTCGGGGGCTGCGAGACCCCTGCCCCCCCCCCCTCCCCAAAGCCTCCTCTCCATCTCCGCTCGCAGGACCCCTCCCCAAGCCCTGCAGAGCCGCGCGGAGAAACTTGCAGAGCGCACGCACGCTGCCAAGGACAAAGCAGGGACCGGAGCATCCCCACTTGGAGAGGGGGGGTTCACCCCCAAAACCTGCACCCCCCCAGAGAAAGGAGCGAGCCCAGCCCCCCCAAACCCCCCTCGCTCTCCTCCGGCGCAGAGGTGAAGGGAGCTCTCCAAACCACCCTCGCTCTCCCTAGCGCAATACGGCAGGCGCACCGCTCGGCTCCCCAGCGCCTTTGCCCGGCTCCCACCTTGCTCGCTGCTTTCGGGGGGGGGTCCGGGGGTCCGGCACGGGGCTGAGCTGCGGCTTCTCGGGGGCAGAGCTGGGCAGCAGGTTGGCAGCGGGGCTGGGAGCGAGCTGCACCGGGCATAAGTGCAGGGGGGGGAGAAGAGAGGAGCCCTCTGTGTGCGCGTGTGGCCGTGGCCGCGGCTCCTTTTTTTTTTTTTTTTTCCTTCTTTTCCCTCCTCTTTCCCTCCTCCTTTTATATTTTATTCCTTCCCCTAATTAAAAAAAAAAAATAAATATATGTTACCGTGCTGGCAGGCGCCTCGTCCCTCCCCTTCCCTCCCTCCTGGCAATGCCAGCACGGGACCCGTGCGGCGGATGCGCCGGGCGGGCACGAGGTTTAACCCTGTGGATGCAAGGGGCCCCCCCAAACTGCCCCCCCCCCCAACCTCCCCACCACAGCCCCTCGTTTTTTTGGGGTGTTTATCCCGATATTTGGGATTTTCAGCTGGATCAGGGAAGGGGCTGTGGGCAGGGGTCCCGGTGGCTGTGGTTTTGTCGTGCGCCCCCAACCCCGTGCCAGCTCCATGTGTGGAGCTGGGGAGGGTCCGGGGGGGGTCCCGGCACACGCCGTGCCTCAGTTTCCCCACCTGCATCCCATGGCTCGCAGATTGCTCCCGGGGGGGTGCTTTAAGCTCGCCAAGCCCCAAATCCTCCCCATGGAGCAGGATGGGGGTGGGCTGGAATCGGGGCCCTGGGTGCAGCCAGCATCGGGGTCCCCCCCCATTAGGGAGCCGAGCTCCAAACCGGAGCTTTTTTTAACCAGATCTCGCTCAAAACTTTCTCCGGCGTGCGGCATCCTCCACCCCGGGGGGGCTGGCGCGGCGCCTGCCGGATAATTGCTCGGGTGAGTTTGCAGAAAGCCGCAGCTCCTGAGCAGAATTAATCACCCGTCGCCCTGGGAAATAATTAGCAGCGGCGGGGAAGGGCTTGGCAGCGAGGCGCACGGCGTGGTGGCACGGGGCTGGGATGGATACGGGACGGACACGGGGACAGACACAGGGACAGGGACAGGGACAGACACAGGGACAGATGTCCCAAGGGGTAGCGGTGACGCTGGGCCCCCCCACTGGATCCTTGTGGATCCTCGTGGCCATGAGCTCACATCCTGCGCCCGGGATTTTGTGGCCGAAATCTCGGGAATGGGGGAAAGGCGAAGTGCCTGCTCAGCAAGGAGCCTTACCAGCCCTAATTGGGAACAAATGTTCCCCTCCAGCTCGCCAAAGAGGCTCCTCCACGCTGCGCCACGGGGCCACCGCGGTGTCCCCGGGGTGTCCTGGGGAGAGGGGACATCCCCGGGGACAGCCGGTGCCTGGGGGGGAGAGCGGTCAGCACAGGGTGGCAGCGGGGCACAACCCCTATCAGCCAGCAGAGAATCCCCATCCTGTGCCCTACAGGAGGTGGTGGGGCCCCCCCAGCCCTCCCCATCCCAAAAGTGACCCCGGACACCGGTGGTCCCCAGCTGCGTCCCCTTCGTGGTGAGGCTGGAAGTGTCCCCGTGCCCAGCTGTGCTTCCTCTTCCTCCTCCTCCTCCTCCTCCTTTTTGGGTGGTGGCCCCCCCAAAACCTCCTGCCCCCCGCTGCCACCCCCAAGCACCCCACAGAGGGAGGGACATCGCCGTCCTGAGGGGGGGGCTGACCCCACAGGGACAGGGATGTCCCCATTTAGGGCCAAATCCCAACCCCAAGCATCGCCCAGGGATGTGGATGTTCCCCTCCTGGGGGCATCACGACCCCAAGAACCCCCCAGGGACACCGATGTCCCCATCCCAAGCAGCTCCAGGCCCTGAGCACCCTCGGGGGGCACGCAGACCCCCCCCCAACCTGGGGCACCCTGCACACCACAGGGGTTTTGGGGTTTTGGGTTGTCCCACTGAGCCCTGCCGGATTGCCACGGGGACCAGGGGACGGGGGCACAGCAGGGAAACCCACAGGAGAGCCTCGGGGAGGAAGAGGAGAGCGAGGGCAGGGAGGAAGGCCACGCTCCGACCCCACATCCCATGGGACCGACACCGGGGAGGCCCCAGAGGAGGAAAAATCTCAGCATGTCTGGCTGCAAATTAGGTGGAAAAACGACACTTTTGGGGACCCCAGCGCCCCCCAGGCCATGGCACGGGGGCTGTGGGGTCCCAGCCAGCCCCTGGGTGGCTCCGGGTGGCTCCGGGTGGCTCCGGGTGGCTCCGGGTGGTGTTGCCAGCAGAGGGGACTGTTGCTCGCCTCAAATTGGAGCAGGGTGGGAGCTGGCTGGGAGCCGGCCGGGAGCCAGCTGGGGAGGGGACGTTGCCTTTTTTTTTTCTTTTTTTTTCCTTTTTTGCCCTTTTCCTCCTTGGAAAGGGGCCGGCGGGGACCCTCCCCACCGCCTCTCCGGGAGAGGAAGGGCTGGGAGAGAAAGAGCTGGCAACAAAAAGTCTCTCCCCGGATGATTTTATGATTTTATTTTATTTTTTTTTTTCGTTCCTTTCTTTTGTTCACAGCAAGCTCGCGCCCTCAACTCCCTCCCCCCGAATAAATCAGCTGGGGGAAATAAAAAGAAAGAAAAAGAAAAAAAAAAAAAAAAAAGGAAAACGATCCCCACGACGCAATTCCTCGCCCCGAGGATCGGAGCAGCCCGGGGGGGGTGGACGGCCACGGGGCACAGCCCCAAACTTTGGGCTGCTCCAGGGGAACCTGTGGCCATCGGCAGCCCCCGTGGGGCTCCCAGCTCCACATCTGGAACCCGAAATGGGCACAGCTGGAAGCAGGGGGGGCTGCTGGGGGGGCTGCTCCGCTCGCCTCCTTCCCCCCTCAGCAGTTTTCCCTATGCCTTTTGGGGTGGATCCAGGGCGCTGGAGCAGGATTGGTGCCAAAGTGGTGCCTGGGGCTGAGCCTCAAAGAGGCACTGGGGTTGCTCAGAGCATCCCCACGGGGTCATTTTCTCCTCCCCGAGGTGCAAAACCCCCCCAAGCCCCACAGCGGTTCGCTCACCCCAGTTTTCGGAGCATCCCCATGGGGTCTTCTCCTCCCCAGGGTGCCAAAACCCTCCATGGCCCCACAGGGGTTTCCTCACCCCGGTTTTTGGAGCAGCACAAAAGGGTCCCCGCGGCCAAGCCCTGGGGGACAGGTGTCTGCCAGCCTCCCTTGGAAAGCCCCAAATAGCTCCGCGCTGAGCACCACGGCGGCCAGCCCAGCACCTCCAGGTGCCAAGGACGTGACGTTTTTGGGGAGGGGGCGGGGGGCTCCCCAGCGGGATCTGAGCCAGAGGGGGGGGCACCGCAAACTGTGCCGAGCTCGGTGGGGAAACTGAGGCACGGCAAAGCCCGGGCACCCCCCCTGCAGCCCCCTCCTCCTCGCCCTCCCCAGCGCAGCGCTCGAGGAGTGCCGGGCGTCCTGAGGGGACACGGGGGGGGCCGTGGAGAAGAAGGGGGGGACACACGAGGATGGTTTGGGCAGCAGCTGCGCCGGCTGCGGAAGAGTTAAAGCCGCTCCTCTGCCCGGGTCTCGGGGGCCTCCCACTCGCCCGGGGTGAGTATGAATAGCTGCTGCGCTCGCCATCGCCGGCACCGCTCCTGCCGGCGTCGTCCTCCTCGGGCTCCCCGATGCTGAGCATGGAGGGCTTGGTGGGGGCCAGGCTGCTGGGCGAGGAGTCGCTGCAGATGTGGGACCTCAACAAGCGGCTGGAAGCCTACCTGGCCCGCGTCAAGTTCCTGGAGGAGGAGAACGAGGGGCTGCGCGCCCAAATCCGCGGCGCCAAGAGCGGCCCCGCCGCCGAGCCCTGGAGAGCCAAGTACGAGGAGGAGCTGCGAGCCCTGCGGGCAGCGCTGGACCGAGCCTTCAGGGAGAAATGCTCGGCCGAGCTGGCCCGGGATAACCTGTACGAGGAGGTGCAGCACGTGAGGAGCAGGTGCCAGAAGGAGAAGGAGGCGCGGGATGAAGCCAAGAGGCAGCTGGCGGCCGGCAAGAAGGAGCTGGAGGAGGAGAGGAGGGCGCAGATCTGGCTGAAGGAGCGAGCGGCGCAGCTGGAGAAGGAGGTGGGAGCCCTGCTGGAGGTGCACGAGGAGGAGAAAGCGGGGCTGGACCGGGAGCTGGCCGGCTTCTCGCAGAGCCTGGAGAGCCTGCGCTGCGCCCCGGCGGCGTTCCAGCCGCTGGAGGTGGAGGATTACTCCAGGAGGCTGGCGGAGATCTGGAGAGGGGCGGTGGAGACCTACAAGGCGGAGGTGGCGCAGCTGGAGCGCTCGCTCGGCCAGGCCAAGGAGAGCCTCTGGAAGGCGGCGGAGGACGGGCAGCAGAGCCAAATGCAGCTGCAGCACCTGGACAAGGAGCTGGCGGCGCTCCGAGCGCGCAAGGAGCTGCTGGAGGACAACCTGGCCCGGCAGTGGCAGGAGCAGCGCGGAGAAGCGGAGAAGTTCCAGGTGGGGAGACGCAGAGAAGGGCGAGGGGGAGATGGAGAGGAGGGGGAAGGAGGAGAAGACCCCCAAAACGAGTGGAGAGGGGCGGCTCGGAGCCCCCCCGGGTGGGTTTTTGTCGCCGGCGTCCTGCCGGTGTTGGGGAGGAAAAAGTTTGTCCGGCTGCAGCACAGCTGCGAAACTCATCGAGGAAAGGGAGGCTGCGGGGGGGGGAACGGGGCTGGAAATGCCAGGAATGGCCCCCGGCTGGCGGCCGGAGCTGCAGCCCCCGCGCAGGGCAGGGTCCCCTCTTTGTTCCAGGGTGGGGATGGGGAAGGGGGTGTCCGTGGCCGCCCACCCCCCCCAAGGACGCATCCTTCCCACGCCGGCATCGCCGGGTCCTGAGCCCCCCTTCCAGCCTCTCCATCCCTCCTCCAGCAGCTGCTGCCCACTCGAATTTCTGCCCGGCTCCTTTCCTCGCCCACCTCTCCCCTCTCCAAACCCCCCGGAAAAAAAAAATGACCCCCCTTGTGACCCCCTGCGGGGTGCTGGGCACCCAGGGGTGGAAACGGGGGTCACCCCTTGGGGTGCTGGGTTTGGGGATGGACCCGGGGACCCTCTCGGTGCCGTGGCTCCGGCTGCGGGCGGCTCCCGGAGCCAAATCCCAGCCTCTCCCCCCCCCCATCCTCCGGAAGGAGCCGGAGCAATAATTTCCCCTCATTTCCCACGGGAGCCGAGGGGTCAGGGCCGGGAGGAAGAGCGGCGATGGATGGGGGGGGGGTTGGCAAACCCCACCGG